TCTACTACGTTCAGGGAGCCATCACACTCAAATGTGGATGTCATACATTCAGTGACTGAGTTGCTATTAAAATATAAGCCAATCAAAAAAAAATCTAGATCAAAACCGAACTGCACAAAGGCAAAATACCTCCTGCATCAGATATCTCATACTGAATCATGTGTGGTCACATACAAATATGGTACTAGAAGTCATAATATACAATTCTCCTTTTCTTTAGTTGCTAAGATGCTTTGGCAAAATAGGCCCCACTGTAGGAAGCATGGAATAATTACAGAAGACACCTGCTAGTCTACAGATGGAGCAAGTAACTTGATTTCTGTACCTTGCATTATATGCTTTAGAAGCTACCTAAATTACCCTGGCACTGTTGCAGCAATCATTAACATTTTAACTTTATTCTGCTGAACACTTTAAGAAGCAGCAGAAACAGCAGCAAGTGGAAGAGAAATAAATTAGACAGCAGAGACTTGGAAAAAAGAATCTTGGAATCAGAACCCTGGATGGAAATACCCCACATGCAGGCATTGGCTCTGTATCTGAACTCTACATCTTGTGCCCAACTCTAATCATTACCAGTTTCTTTTTAAAAGCCTGTGCTTGAAAGAGCTGATGTGTTATGAGACAGCCGTGACCTAAGTAAACTCCAAACAAATCATTCATCACTGCAAAACTCCAGAACAAGCTGGTACTTTCTCAGAGTAGTGTTCTTCTAAACACACATTATACATAAAGAGGAAACAGAAAGCACATACTGTAGGCTTTCATCAATTGTACACAAACAAAGCCTTTGATAACTCTCTGAATATGCTTGAGATCATTATGCCTGCGGCCAAGAGGCTCTCAGTAGTCTACGATCTCATTTTCCAAAGTTTTGGTCAAAAGGGTCTTTTTAAGAGCAAGGGAGAAAGGAACACTTTCTCCTTTAATATCATTATGTACACAACACCCCTACTCAAACCCTTTCATGCACCATCTTTTTACTTACCAAATTCAAATTTTACAACCCCAAGGTATGGAGAGGAGCTGCTCATGCTACTCACATCAACAGCCACCTTTTCTTTCACTAACCCTTCCCTTTCATGGCCCACATTGTTCCTGGAACAGTTGGCCTTTTCCAGTTCTCTGGTTCTTTCTTACTTTCCTGTCTTCTTACTTTTCTTACCTTTTGTTTGCTTTTTAAAATATTTTGTTTAGACATGAAGAGATTCTTATGTGGATTCAGGAAGGTAGAGGACCAAGGAAGTGAAAAACCACTGTTTTATATTCTGCAGCTCACACAACAATGCAGTTAATGCCATGCTGTTGGTTAAGAGGCACAACAACGTGCGAGAACCATGCAGTTGATTTTAGCTAGAAGAGAGTGCCTGTTCTAAAGAGGAACAACTACTTCTAAATAATGGAACACTTTTACCCCAGAAAAAGTATTTTAGTGTAACCAGCTTAATCTAGTCACTATTTTCAACTCCTTTTCCCTTTGAAAGCAAATCCAAAAATCATTCTGAACTACCAAGGACACAAATCTATCTAATTTTTTAATGCGCTGTTTTTGTTTCAGCTACTTTACCAGCTTTGCATAATAAAATAATAAAAATTTAATGTATTCAATTTAGTACCACATTCTCTATAAAAATTTGGAGAAGCAATCATTTCATCAAGGTATTTGGACTTTTGGCTCCTACATTAGTACCCCAGACCCAAAGGTTTCTTTAGAAGTGTTCATGTAACAACCAGTAAGCAACAGAAATGTACTTAACACTGTGGTATCCTATAATTCACATTAGCAGCTGCACAAATAATTACAGCACTTCTCAGGTAAAACCTCACCAATTTAAATGAGTTTTCTCTGAGCAGGGATTGAAATCTCTTTGAGTGATAGGGAGATGAACAGAAGCCTCTGCAAGTGTTAAATACAGGACTGTGTTCCCAGGGCATACAAATGCTACCTGCTGATGACTAAAAGAACATGATTTTCAGACTCTGGATCAAATTCTATTGAATTTTGGCTACTGTATTCCTAAATGTATTTAACAGAAAGGGGTCCCTTTTACCCTGAGCAGGTAACCATTTCATCATTCTGATGTTCACAGGAGGGCTTTAACGGGCCATGCCTTTTCTTTAAGATCAATCAATTCCCTCTCCCTTGCCTCTGATTCACTGTTTTGTAAGAGGACCATTTACCAGCACAATTTGATTCAGCCGTTTTCAGAAAAGAGCATCAGCTGCTCATTAATGAGCCAGGCCTAGGGGACATCACAGGTTTTTGGAACCCAATCTCTGTTTCTGTCTCATCAAGGAGTGGCTAAATATGGAATTGCATAAAACAGGGCTGGTAGGGATTGATGCGGTCATCTACACCATTTCCTAATCTCCACATGGCACCAGTTTTGCCTAGACAATTCTTAGCAGTTATTTCTGACTTATTCTTAGGAGATTCCATTGATGAGTTCCTATAATGCCTCCATTAAATTATTAGAAAGTTTCTTTTACATCTGACATGCATCTTCAGTGAAACACAGTATTATTCTATTTTTCAGACTTTGAACATATAACACATTACTAAATCTGGTAGTGTATAAATTGACTTTATTTTTTCCCACTTAGTCCTGACAGCAATTACTGAATAGCTGAATAGGGGCATGTCATTTAAGACTTACCCTACACTACTGCTGCAGCTAAGACCTACAATATCTCAACACTCACCTAATTTTATCTTATTTTTTCTACCAAAACTGAAATGAAAGTTGTAATTCATTCCCCATAACAAGGTTCTAATTTCAGGCAGTCCAGAGCAGGAGATGCTAGGAAGGGAGTAACATCCTAGCACTTAGGATAGTATGAAAACTTTTTGGTGCCTAGAATTGCCATGAGTCAATTCTAGCCACTGAATGTCACTTTCAAACTAATGTTTTCTCTTTCTGGTGATACTTTGAGGAAGAAAATACAGTCAGTTTTCAAGGTACCCAACATTTCTGTCAAGTTATCAAGACTGTCTAACAAAAGCTAATTTACAATGGGAGGTGTCTACAGCAGGCGCCATTAAGTCTAGAGCCATGAGACTGACTTCTCCCTGGACATCAATTTAACAAGATTATGATGTAGAAGGGTACTGTACCTCTCTGAAGTGCAAGGCTTTTTATCCCTAGAAATTATTTTCTTTTCCTCTTAGCTAATGCACAGTGAGGTTTTACTAATCACTGTTCTTAAGGGAAAGCAAGAAAATTTAATTAATATATAGACGTTCGCAAGTAAGTAGCTTGTGCCTCTTTTTTTAATTCATCTTCAAATCAAGAAAGGTTCTAATTACAATGAGGTAACAGATTCATCTTCCTAGTGTTCTTCCCCAGCAGAGTTTTGTAATTGTAAGTGCATAACAAAAAGATATATCAGAGAGAGATGTAAAACATTCTGAAAATGCATAGCAAGTAATATTGTACACAGAAGCAGAGAAAGCAAAGCTTGCATCTTCCTGCTACTTTAAAAAGTAATTTATTTGTAACTTGAAGTTTTTCTTCTTACTTGACTAATTCCCAGTCTGAAACAGATACTACATAACCAAACACTAAAGTCCTTTCAATGTGTTTAAAGACAAAAGCTATCATTTATTATTCCTTGACTGGACAATTAAATGTAAAGTGAGAATTTTAACATTTGAAGGAAGAATCTCAAAGAGAATATAAAACTTACAGTCCATCACAGACCAACATCGCTAGGGTTGTTTGGGTGAGTTTTTTTTGGGGGGTGGGGGGGGAGGTGAGGGAGGTGTCAGTTTGTCCGTTTTTTTGGATGGGGCTTCTTTGGGGTTTTTTTTGTTGGTTTTTTTTGAGGTGAAAGCTTGAATTTCGTTGTGTAAAGGAAAGAAATCAGAGAGCAACAGCGCAGCTACCCTGTTAGCTCTGAGAACCTGGTTCTTCTGTACAGTTTTGTGAAGCACTTAAGAAAATTACTGTCTCGGGAGATGACGACTGCAGGATGGGGGGACACAACAGTCTTTTCTATTTCAAGGAGAAGGAAATGGTAGAGAACAGTCCTTAATCTAACTGGAGCCAAACTATAGAATCAGACTGGAAAGTTTGAATGTTAGATTCTCCTCAGTGAATATCTGTAACACAAAATGAAACATCTAGGAACCATGAACATTATTCAAAAGTAAACAAAAGACACATTTTCATAGAAAATGGACCTAAAAGATTGTGAATGCAATAAAACTGATTTTCCTAATACAAATAACAATTATTCGGTTTTCTTAACCTGCATTCTTTGTTTATACTTTTTTCTTAGATCAGTTTTTTTTTTTCTTAGATCAAACTATGATCACGTATTGACCTGCTCAAATGGGATTCAGGTTCACTAGAGCATAAATCCACAAAACTATAAAATCACATGTTTTCCAGATAAAATAACTGCAGTTCACTTCTGGCTTTACCAAGTCTTCTTTGGTGTTTAACAATATCTTAATGTTTATGAATAACATCACTTTTTTCTGTAATATCAGTTACTCATACTGATAGATTCCTAAATTAATATTTAACATTTATCTTGCAATCCATTCATAACTTAGTAAAAAGACCAACTTCCAAAGATTTATGTGCCTAAGGAAGCCAACAGAGGTGGCTGGAAGAATTCAGAAAGAATAGGCTTGTGTTGCAATCTGCAAGTGCTTGGGCACTCTGAAAATCGCACCATCTGCAGCTTCGTGCATAGGAAAGCCTCCCTCCTGTCATAAACAGCCCTTTTGTGCCAGCTGGTGTGGATGGGGTCTACAGGGACTTATGGGTGTGGTGTACCAGAAAACAGCAAGTCAGAGGAGAAAAAGAAGTACACATGTGAGAAGTACAGGAAAATCTCCCCAGAACTGCTAAGCTCTGGAGACTAGTGGACTAGTTGAATGCAAGAGAACTGACAAAAATCAAAACACCAAGAATCAGTTGGATCTCCAGAAGGCCACCAGTGCACACATGGGAAGAAAACAAACAGGTTTGTTACATTAAAATACTTACTTGGTAGGGATATAGAGTGACGCCATTCGTTCTTGACAAAGACCAGGTGCCGTCAAGGTACTGATGAGCCTGGATTGCTACGGAGTTGAGAACATTACCATTGCTGGGGCTAGTGGCCATTTGAAAACTGACCTTAGCTTGGTGTCCAGGAGAGCCATTTTTCTTCTCCACCCCGTTGACAATTCCTAGACTGTTGGGTTTGCCAACGTGTTTGTTGGCAACAAAGCCTGTATAATTTGATGTAGCATAAGGAGCAGGCATGTATGCCCAGTCCCTGGGCTGCAGGCTGCCCATGTGCCGGGGACTCACTAACGTGGGGATATTGGAGAGAGGTGGGGGAGAGCCTGGTGAGGCATCATAATGTTCTGAGTTGTCAGCTTGCTCTAAGGTCAGCACCATCTGAATGGCCTCTTGCTTCAACTGGTTCAGGTGCGTGGCACAAACGTCACATCTATTGTCCTTCTCATTCCATGCCTTACGAATGGTATTGGGAACTTGGAGCTTGTCGTGAATCACCGAAGAGAAACCTGGGTCCTAAATAAAAAAAAAAAAAAAAAAAAAGGAAAATCAAACAGAGAAGGGAGAGGGGGGAACAGGAGAGAAATGTTTAACCATGGTCACCACAGTGAAACATTATTACTGCTGATTGTGCATTTCAAAAGCCAATTTATGAGATAAGCTTAGAATGCAAACAAAGGCCATTAGATACAGTCAACATATGCCAGCAGTAGAGCTGAACAAAAATGAGAAACTAGATCGTGCTAGAAAGAAAAATTTCTTTTACTTTTACTGATAAGTGGAAAATATTATAATTTCATTGCAAGCTTCAATGCATGACAGAGAGAATGAATTAACCTGCTTCACACCAGTGCACCTAATTTCTGGCTTGAATGAAATCTACTCCTAGTTATACAGGTGAAATCAAGAGCACCTCCACTAAAACCAGTGGGCTTGCAGCAAGGTTCACAAATCCATCTATGCATCAGTGCCAGTTTTTGGTATTCAGAAAATCCAGGAAATACTCTACAACAAAAACATAAAATTTCAAAGCCTACTTGTAAAGGAAAAATGAAAAACCAGAAGTACCATCACTCTCCCAAAATCCTTTCCAGAATTCAAAACAGATGGATATTTGATAAAGTTTTCAAGAGCTTTTCAGCATTTCATTTACCAAAACCACACTTTTCAGCTGAAAAAAACACAAAGAAAAAAAAACCACAATTTTTTCTAGTAATCAAATGTTTTACCACTATTTTGGGTATCTGCTGATAATGTAAAATAAAACAATAATTTTATTTAGAAATTAGAACATGTATAGGGTCAATAATTCATAAGGAATAATTTTATTCTCAGGAAGCATAGTTTTGATGCAAAACCACATGATCAGGTTTGAAATCTCACATCCTGACCTCATGGGTAGATCTCTGAGTATCAGTGGTACTCTCCACAGAGCAATATGGACCCTGATCTGACTACAGCCATTGAATGCTGGCTTAAATTGCAAAGTGCTTCAGTAAGCGATGAAGTCAAACAGCAGTCTTAGCAGGAGGTTATCACCATCTTGCCTAGTTCTTACAGTATCACACAGTTTCAGAAACACACAGCAAAAACATGTGTGTTACACAGAACAAACAATGGCAGTTAGGTGATGGAAATATTTCTTGGAAATTTCACACCACATTTTTGTGGTTTCACAGATCAGGCAGAGCAGACTTCACCTCCTTACATTTTGGAGACTTATTGGTGGATTTTCTTATGACTACTCAAAAAAAAAGGTTATAATCAGTATAATCAAAATCTCTTTTTTTTTTTCTCCCCTCTTTTTGGCTTTGTCAGCTTTAGCAGCAAACTGAAATCAGTCCGGGAGAGTGCATGGGAGTGGACAGAGGAAATCACACAAATAGACACCACCCTTATTAAGTAATTTGATGAACACCATGCCATCCAAGATGGACAAATTTCATGTCCTGATAGTTTGGCTGTGGTGGGAAAGAATGGGTAGGGGGTATAATATATAGAGAGAGAGTATTCATTGGTAGAGGGTCATATTCATTATGATCTGTCTTTATTATATACTCAAGCATTTTATTTTCACTGTTTAACTACTGTGAACAGCTCCTCAGCATGCAGTGATTAATTGATTCATAAATCATGGTGCCTCTTTATGCACAGCAGCAAAAGAGCAGTTCTAGAGCCTCAGAAGCCCAAGAGAGTCATATAAGCTGATGAGAAACAACAGGAGGCTGTGATCTGATCAAGCCTCAAGCTGGTCATTCCTATTTTATGCACAAAGAGGGTCAGAGCATCAAAGCGTGTCAAGAAGACAGGAACTGGAATCGTCACCAACCCTCCCCCCTTAACCTTTGGGAAAGGGACCAGTTGAAATCAGGGGGAAAAAACAGAATGCAAAAGATGTCAAATCTTATTTTCCATCCCAGACCGTAACTAGGTCAAGAGATCACATCAGATATAGGCACCCCATCCATGATGCCAGGTATGCAGGGAAAGACTCTATTTTTACCATAATGAGCTAGACAAAACTACCTATACAGCTGAAGTGAGGTGTGAGTCTTCTTTCCAGGCTGCTCCACGTCAGTCCAGGAAAAATCCTTGCCAGCTTTTCCTTCAGCTAGCTAGTGCCACAGAGCTAGTTGTTGTTCTTTGAAAGTTAACTTCCCTTAGGCAACTAGGCTTGAACCCAGGTAATTATATACAACATTCAGATCCAGCAGCAGTTCAAGATGGAAATTCCTGGATACTATGATAAATATTCCAAGGAAATAAAGCCTTCTCTAAAGTAAGCAAATGTCAGCATGATATAAATATTCAAGTAGCACACCAACTTTAAAGAGTGCTGGACAGCAGTGAATTCAGCTTCATCTCAGTCTTAAAACAAACATAAGATCATTTTCTGATACAACAATAAACACAGAGAGAGGGAGGGAGCAAGGGAGGGAGGGAAGAAGGAAGACTGTTCCTCCTCAGGAGCAGAAAGGAGAAAAACAGGCACAACCTGAATTGATTACTCCCAAGATTGGCTCTACTAATCTATCAGACTCTACTAGATGGATAGCTCAACACCAGGTCCAAGTCTGGAATGTGAAACAAAACCCTACAGGACAGCAAATAAATTTGGAGAAACTCGGGTTCCAGAAACAATTAGTTACATTTTGTTCTCAAAGCAAATCTGATAGAGCTTAAAAGATAGTTTAGTTTCTTATTCTGCACTGGGCACCTCCACTGTAATGTCACAGAAGAATCAGCTAACAGCCTTGAAACACATTTAACAGGAAGGAGGTCAAAACTGGACAGTCACTACACCCTTGCTTGAATAGCAGGAAAATGCAGCTTCATGACACTTTCTGTTTCAGTATTTCATCTGCAAGCAACCATCTGTACACATTCCTTTAGGATTGCTCATTAGTTCAATAAACAGTATCTTGTCCCATATGAAATAATGATGGGCAAGCCTCACAGGATAAGATCTTTGAGCTAGCTGCACTAAGCAGCAGGAGTTGGAAAGGTTATACTCACTACCGAAACTTGTGAGGTCTAAGAAACTCCACACTCACTGGCATGAGAGCAGATTTGCTTGTGAAATCTGAGGTTGACACTGGAAATACGATTCATATTTTGGCACTCATTTCCACTGACAGAACAAAGTACAGTGACACTGAAAACTGAAACAGAACTTTAAAAGTCACAAGAGAGTTTGGTTTGAGTTCAAGGCAAAGGTTCATGATGGTTTCTCTTATTGCTGTAATGGTTCACCCATCTTTAGTATAAACAGCCTTAGTATAAACTCTTATTCCTATAATAAACAAATGAAGGCGTGTAAGAGGTCTGAAAGCTTCAGGAGATCAGTCACAACACAGACCATAGCACAAATGCACAAGGCAAGCAGTGAACTAAACAGAGTGCACACTGAGTTTTGTTGCAAGGAATCTCTTCACGTTACCTTCGAGTTTTCAAGCTCAAGTAAACACCAATTCCCCCTATGTTTAATTGTTCATCTTCTCCATGGTAACCAACTAGTGATTTATCCCTCATCTTTGATCCTGAACTAAAAAACCACAAGGGAAAGACAGATGAGGGAAGGAAGTTTTGCTTTTTAGAGGCCCAACATAGACAGGTATGCTGAGGAATTCTTGATTTACCCAGTGAACGTACTCAGCAAACAGGCACTAGTTAAGAAACTCTGAAGTACACAGACAGCTGTACCAGGGTAAATGCACTCCTGACCTCACGGAAGAGAAGCAACAGCACTACTGTATGATCACGTAAGGTAATGCAGAAGCATCCTCCTCATCTCCCTTTGTAAATCTATACCTCGCTATATAGCTTGCATAACATTTTAATTCCATCACTAAGAAAGCAGACTACAAGAATAATCCTTCCCTTCCTGCTACCCAGCTTGATGCCCATCTTCTTCAACAATCTGTTTCATACATATATTTACACAAAGCTCACAGGAAGATAAGATGAAAGCAGGCAGAGCCCAACTGGTGGACAGAAGCAGGCAAGAAACAGGATAAACAGTTTGTGCTTTTTACATGTTACATGGAACCTAATTGATCACAGGTTCATATACAAATACACATACGCATGCTACTTTTTTGTAAATATACTACAGACAGAAACTAATATGGGATTTTGTGCACAATTATTTGATTTTGTCAACTATAGCCTCCACAAGTATACACATTTTAACCCTATGTCATTACCTCAACGAAAACTCAACTGTACAATGGATCTCAAGACCTTCTTATCAAATAATGTTCTTCAATATTATCCATCGTTCTTCGGGAAAAAACAAAGCAGTCAACACTAAATCACAGAGGTCAGCTTCCACTTGAAGATGCTCACAGAAGCCTCATGGAGTTCTTTTGTTTCTGAAAAGGTCCAGGCAGCAATGACTGCTGGTATGTGATCCATCACACAAGGTGAGGGGAGAAGCAGGGGATAGCAATGATCAAAGTTCTGCCCAGGAGGAAGTGTGTTTTCCAGACCCTCACTCTCCACAGGCAGGGAGTAAAAGAACTAATTAAGAAACATTAGTAGGAGAGAAGACTTAACCCTGATAAAAAACACATGTTTTTCCATGACTCCGCAAACATCTCTACTCTAAACACAATCCTGTTAGTTCCATGGCTAGGGGAAGAAAAAAACAAGTCTCCTCTATTCTGCTTTCTCTCGTGAGGGTATACTTTCCAGCCCAATAAAGAGATTATACTTGTAAATTTACTTTCCAGAGGCACTTGGATTATTTCCCAAGTGTCTCTGCACCCTAACTTAAAACATATCCTATCATCTTCATGGCCACATCTCAGAGATCTGCTGTTTTCAGCATTCCAGAGCCCCAACAGTTGAAAAACCTCACTGTTAAAATGGCACCACATACGTTAAAGCAAAAGTATGTTCAAATAAACTGAAGTCAATAGGAGTTTTTCCTCAAATAAGCATGACAAAGATACACACTATGACTATAAATTAGTAGCGCTGTACAATCAAACTGAGCCAGGAACCCCTGGACA